GATGATTCTAAGCAGTAAAGCACAACGATATTTAACGAATGTTGTCAAAGATCCAGCAAATGATAATTCTGTCTTACTCACAGCTGTAAAGAACCAAAACATAGATGTCATCGACTATTTAATATATTGTTGGTATTTTTTGATCCAGCAACTTCCATTTGAGCACCAAGTTAGAATTTCTACAGCAGCATTTGATACCAACCAGCTTGATGTCCTCTGTCGCTTGCTGAATATTGCCGACTTTCCTTTTCCAAAGGATTTCAACCTTGACTTGATTGTCCATAAAGATCTTAGAAATATCATCGATAAAAGATTGAGGTTTGCTGCTGCAATCAGTGCTGGGAATTCTAACTACATTAAAAAATTTATCAACACAAATCAGGACCTAAAAGTTGCCTACAATATCAACAATATGTCAGCATTAAAGCAAGCTGTGGATGCATCAGAGATCAATATTTATGTTCTCTTAAAATCCAGCGGTTTTTGTTCAAAGAATAAAAATGAAGATTTTAAGGAAACCAGAAAGTATGAAGCACAAAAAAGGAATCAAAACATCAACGACGGCCTGACTGATGACAAAATGTCTATAAATTTCTTATGTAATAGATCAAGAATCCACAATAAGAAGATTGATAAGAAACAAGAGGAAAAATATAGGAAGAATATCAGAAGTTGGTACAAAGACATCAGCAAGATCAAAAATGGCACAGAATTCCTCAAGGTTGCAGCATCTTGTAGTGGATTAAAGCTTCTTTTTGATTTTGAAAATAACACGGTAAATTAAATTAAGCATGTCTGTTCTTATTCTATTTTTAAAAAATAATTTTATTGATTAAAGGTTGAAAATGCTAGCATGGATGATGCAGGAGCGTTAGGAATAATATACCCGATCGAAAAATGGATCTTTATTGGTGCTAAATTGGCTGATGAAGAAGAGAAAACCAAAGAACGTGAACAGACGATTAAAGGAGTTTTGGCACACGAACTGTGTCATTATGTCATGAAGCTAGTTTATGATAATCAGGAGATGCCTTACTTTGAGGACAGCGAGGATATAAAGAAATTTTTTGAAGCAATTGTCAAAATTATTGACAGATGGTCAGCAAAAGATTCAGCAAATCCAGATGACGAGTGCAATGGAATCATTTCATCAGTTTTTACAGAATATGATACCAAGGACTTCCATCCAGAGCTGATCGTCCGAGTTGTCCAAATCCTGTCAAATTTTGATGATTCCAAGAATAAGTCGAAGAAACTTCAAAAAAGATACAAAATCCTCTTCGATTTTTGGCAAGACTACGTCATACCAGATCTCCAAAGGTATATCCAAAGAAATGGTGAAGTAATCAGGTTAAATGAAAGTATTAAACTGTTGCCCAAGATTTTACAACACAAGATTAAGGTTGAACATGAAAAGAATATTAGCGAACTGATCGACAGCAAATTAGTCATTGTATCCACAAATCATCCACAACTTTTGTTCATTGACATTTGTCAAAAATTAAAAGAGAAATTTGGGAACTTAATGGACTCAAATAATTTATTCGTTGTGCCTTTAGAACTAAAAGATCAACCAAATTTGAGAGACTTTCAACAGATTTGGCTAGACAATCAAGATTTGAGCATTTTCGTTGACTGTACGAGTGGCGTTCCTGATGATTTGGAAAATATTTTCACTAACAAGGAATTTAAGTTTACTTTTGTGGTGTCTACTAAGCAACAAATTGAGGAACTGGATAAAATTTGCAGGCAAAAGGAGTTGGAAAATATCACAAGATTGGACATAAATTACAGCTGGAAAGACTTGACAGAAGAAAGTCAAACTTTGATGCTGAAAACTAAAATTAACTTCCAAAATAATTCACAAATTTCATTGATGGACTTGCTAAAAAATGAAGGAACTGTAGAAGCTGAAAACTTGCCTCAAATTATTGATGACCAACTTTTGAACTTTTTGGTAAAAAAACAAGAAATTTTAATTAACCAAAAGTCAGAAGACAATTTTGAGTTCATTTACCAAGCGAGGCAATTTAAGACAAAATCAAAAACAGAACCAGGTATAATTTTTCAAAAGGAACTTCTTGAAGAATCCAAAAACCAGCAGTACGTCCTCATCTCAGACCAAGCTGGAAATGGCAAAAGTTGGGCAATGAAAAACTTGTCAAAAATCCTTCGAGAACAAAATCCAACAAGTTGGGTCAGTTATGTGGACTTGAAACAGTTCATTGACGAGTTTAAGGCACAACAAGGCGAGCCTGTTTTTTCATCTTTTATGGTCGAGCACATTTTAAAGCCACAACAGCAATTTGAGGATAAAGTATTTCAAAAACTTTATAAGGACGGCCGAGTTTTCATTCTTTTTGATGGATTTGATGAAATTGCTCCAAATTATGCTGAATTTGTGTCTAAATTGGCACAGAACTTCCAACAAAATGACGGAAATCAGCTGTGGATTGCAACTCGAGACTATTTTGAGGTTGATTTGATGGAAAAACTTAAGCTTAATGTTGCTTATAGTCTAAAGAAGATGACAGAAGATGAAGGAATTGACTTGATAGCAAAAAGCTGGCTGTTGATGGATTTACAGAAAGACAATAATGAGCCAAAATCTAAAGAAGAGTTCGACAAGTTCATTAAATCGTCACCAAAATACAAAAATTATAGAAACAAAGCTCGCAAAATAATCAAAAAAGCTGAAATTTCAAGATATAATTCAGTTGGACTTCCTCAAATGTTCAAAATGATTGCTGTTGGATTCAAAGACGAGAAAAATGTTGATGACTTGCAAGGAATTAAAATCTATGCAAAATTCTTAGACATCCTTTACAAAAGATGGTCACAGGGCAAAGGTCAAATCAGAGACGAAGCAAATGTCAAAAGTCAGCGATTTAAGCTTAGTTTCTACAATTTTCATCAATTTAAAGCAATATTAAGTTTGTTCCCAGAATTGGCTAAAATCTTATTTCCCAATTATGATGACAGTGAATGGCCACAGGAAGAAGTCATCGCTGGTGCCGTAATGAGCATAAAAGATGGAAAAGTTTATTTTCCTCATGAGACATTCCGAGAATATTTTGTGGCTGATGCAATTGCAATAGCTTTAAAGAACCCAAAAATTGATGAAAAAGTTGTCGAAATATTTGTTAAAATTTTAACGGTTAAAAAGTTTGAAATAATTCGAATGTTCCTGAATGACATGATTGATGTAAATTCAATCCTGCCAAAAATCAAAGAACAAGTTCAAGAATACAAAGAAAAATTCCACAAAATTACTTATTTTTCTGATTTTTTCACAAATAACTTAACAAATTTGGTTGATTTGGTTCTGGAAATCCTCAAAACTGGAAGTTATGAACAAGTCAAGGAAATTTTACAAAACAGCGCGGAAGACATTGTAGCAAATACAACAGACTCAAAAGTATTTTTAAAATACCAAGATTTTATTTTTGAACGTTTGGAAATCGACGACTTGAAAGTTTTAATCCTCAAAAGCTGTGTTCTTCAAAGAATCGTCAAATCAAGTCTCGGAATTGAAAGTTTTGAAAATTTTGTGACAAGAACAAAAGAAAAAACTGATCGAGAATTTATCAGACAAGGATTGATGGTGAAGAGAAGTGATCGGCATAAAGGCAACATTTTTTACTTCTTGACTGAATCCACAAATTTAAATGCTCACAAAGTCCAAAAACTCTTAAAAATCATGGAAAAGTTCCTCACAGCCACTGAAATATTTGAATTAATGAGCAAATGCGGAAAGTACGAACAAAATATTTTACGAGTTTGTGTTAAAGAAAACAACGAAGAAAATTTGAAAATTTTGTGGTCAGAAATTGAAAAATATTTTGGAGTCCGAAATTTAGCACAAAAATTTAAAGAACTTGTTAAGCAACAAGACAGGTGGAAAGAAAACATTCTTCATTGTGCTGCCAATTGTAACAAGATTGAAGTTCATGAGACTTTATGGGAACTTTTACTCAAAACATTTGAAGATCGAGTCGAATTAAAGGATTTTGTTCTGGACAGTTTTGTAAACAACTTTGTTCATGAACTTGTGAAGGAAAATTTAAATCCAGCAATAATTGAGTGGACATTTAAAATTCTTAAAGAAAACTTAAGCGATCAATTTCAAGAAATTTTAACATCAAAAGGATGGATGGAAATGAATTTACTTCAAACTGCTGCATCTGAGTCAAAAGTCAACGAAGTTCTTCAATTTTTGTGGAAATTTTTCTTAGAATTTTGTGGAACTGATGCAAGGTTTTTGGAAATGCTCAAAGAAGTCGATGAAGATGGACAAAATATTCTTCAAAATGCTTCCGAAAATGCATCGAGTGAAGTTTTTGAGTTTTTGATTCAAGAATTAGACAAATTTGCATCACGAGATGAAATCAGGCAAATGTTAAGTAATTTAAATGAGAGGAAACAAAATTTGTTGCAGTCAGCAGCAAGCTCGAATGAATATTCAGAACTTTATAATACTTTATGGAAAACTTTGCGAAAATATTTTGAAAAATTAGAAATTTCGCAGTTTATAAAAAATGTTGACGTTGATGGAAATAATCTTCTTTTTACTGCTGTGTCTACAGAGTATGAAACAAATGAAATTGTGGAACTGACCTGGAATGAAATTAAAAGTTTTTTGACTCACGACGAACAAATTGAATATTTAAAAATGAAACGAAAAGATGGCAAAAATTTACTTGAACATGCTTTATACAGAACTGAGGAAGAAGAATTGCATCAATGGGTGCAAAGCTTAATGCAGGAGTATGGAATTGCAGATCCACTTGTTAGATAATTCGTTAATTATCAAATAAAAGATTTTTTCAGTTTATTTAAAAAAATATTTTTCATTAATTTTCGTATTTTAAGTTCAGATTCAATTCATAAAATTGAGTGTCAATTTGTGCTGCATGCTGTGGCACGAGACATAAAAAAGGGATGTGAACTGGTCAAACTAGTTTTTGGATGAATAGAAATTGACCCTTGGCTATTTATTTCGAGTATAAAGGATGTGTGAAGCTATAACAATTAACTGTGATTTGATCTTTTTGGGTTTGATGACTTGCTGCTAATAATCTCTAATTTGTGAATGGAAGTGACCCTCAATTGACTTTTTAATGGACTTTAAATTTTTTTTAATTTGTTTATTTTTTTTGTGTTTTTGAAAGAGTCTTGCAGGGGTTGAGGCGGTCACTTGTTGAGTTTTATGTGATTTATTGGACTTGTGTGGTCTTAATTGTACGTATGACATGACCAGGAGTCATATACAAGCCTCAATTGAGCTCAATAACTTCAAAAAATTTCAAATCCCAAACCCCCCAAAAAAATCAATTCCAATTCAAAAAACAAAAGCAGAAAGCTCGACTTTAATGAATGAATTATCCATCACATGGGATTGCTTCCACTTTTACTGTTGCCAGTTCCTCTGTTGCTGCATTTTTCACTAATGTAAAGTATCTCTCGACATTAATTCTCATTCATTTATGCCAGTTATTGCTATGCTGTATGTTATTGATGCGATTTATTATTCTCAAATTCAACTCCGCTTCTGCTGCCTTTGTTGCCGTTCTTCTTGCTCATTATTTGTTAAAAAGATGAAAAATCATTTTAGCCATAAATTCAAATTTAAAAACTCGCATCGACGGCATTTCCCCAACTTCATTTTCAATGTTTTTTAATGCTTTCTATGTTAAAATTGATGCCAGATAACAAGATATAGAGGAAGTGAATGGAAGATAAACATTTTTATGCTGTATAAGTTGAGAAGTTTGAGGGTTGGGTTGGGGTGATTGAGAATTATACATTAATATTTATTGGGGGATGGGCGTGCAGTCCATAGAATGTTGGTAAACTTAAAGATAAATACCCAAAGTCGCACAATCAACACCACTATTGATGCAAAGACACTAAAGTCGCACAATCTACACCACTTTTGATGCAAAGACACTAAAGTCGCACAATCTACACCAAAGTCGCATAATGTACACCACTTTTGACACCAAAGTCGCACAATATACTCCACTTTTGACGCAACGACACCAAAGTCGCACAATCTACACCACTTTTGATGCAAAGACACTAAAGTCGCACAATCTACACCACTTTTGACACAAAGAAACCAAAGTCGCACAATCCACACCACTATTGACACAAAGACACCAAAGTCGCACAATCCACACCATTTTCAACCTCTATGACAAGATTATTCAGTCACATAACCTAAAATCTATAATTCTTGACTCGATATCCAAGCAACTTATCCTCACCAATCCATAAAAGGAACCTCTCCATATGCAAATTAAACGAAATAAAATTCATCAAAGAACTTTCACTGAACAACCCAACCCCACTCCATAAACTCCTTCCCAATCCTCAATATTTTCACCCCTCTCGATTCCATTTCTTTTCCACTCACTTACTTCCTCGCCTCCTTTTTCTGTACATTTTTAAATTTATTGACGTCGAATTCATTTGCCAGATATTACACACGTCTTTCGATCCATCCAGCATCTCGTACACTTCACTGATGCTGTTCTTGATGATATTAATATAAATATATGAGGCACAAACAAACCATAAACACAGCTCGAACCTGAAAAATTGAGTGTGAGGATGATGAAGGGGCACTGAAAATGCTTCAAATTATGCCAAAAATGAGGGAGCGAATGAGTCTTTAAAACTTATGATGATGATAAAAAAAATGAAATTTAAATGAAAAAAATGCGCGGATGGGTCGATATGGCATGTAAACAACTTTCTTATGTGTCTAGGACTAGATAGCTATATTGAAGATGGATAGCGACAGATTGAAAGACAATTTATGTAAATGAAATTGAAATTGAAGACTTTTTATAGAGGAAATTGATGTTATTTTGTAACTGAGAGGTGACAGAAGGGTGGTTAGGGATTTTGGCGGGAAAATTATCATTGATTTTTTTGAGGATGTTGGTTGGGTTAGGTGTGTCGAGTAGTGTAATTCACACTATTTTTTGGTACAATTCCTTAATATTCGCGACTTTAGGTATGAAAAAAAAAACAAAAACAGCACGTTCTACACCACTATTGGGTCTGAATACACATGAACCGCACAATCTACACCACTATTGGGTCAAAAAATTCAAAAACTGCTCGATCTACGTCAATATGGGTCTGAACACACAAGAATCACACAATCTACACCACTATTGGATCTGAACACACAAGATCCGCACAATCTACACCACTATTGGGTCTGAATACACATCAACAGCACGCTCTACACCACTATTGGATCTGAACACACAAGATCCGCACAATCTACACCACTATTGGGTCTGAATACACATGAACCGCACGCTCTACACCACTATTGGATCTGAACACACAAGATCCGCACAATCTACACCACTATTGGGTCTGAATACACATCAACCGCACGCACTACACCACTATTGGATCTGAACACACAAGATCCGCACAATCTACACCACTATTGGGTCTGAATACACATCAACAGCACGCTCTACACCACTATTGGATCTGAACACACAAGATCCGCACAATCTACACCACTATTGGGTCTGAATACACATCAACCGCACGCTCTACACCACTATTGGATCTGAACACACAAGATCCGCACAATCTACACCACTATTGGGTCTGAATACACATCAACCGCACGCACTACACCACTATTGGATCTGAACACACAAGATCCGCACAATCTACACCACTATTGGGTCTGAATACACATCAACAGCACGCTCTACACCACTATTGGATCTGAACACACAAGATCCGCACAATCTACACCACTATTGGGTCTGAATACACATCAACCGCACGCTCTACACCACTATTGGATCTGAACACACAAGATCCGCACAATCTACACCACTTTTGGGTCTGAATACACATAAACCGCACAATCTGCACGATTTTCAAACTTAAATTGACAAAATTAGCTCCAATTTAGCTTATTTTCATACCACAGCCCACCCAACATCCATAAATCTCAAACAACTCCAAATCATCAAAGCAAAAAATACAAAAACATCTCATCAAACATCACAGAAACAGCAGAACATACAAAACTTCACATACATGATAAATTCGACATTGCTCATCTATAATTTCAACGTACACATGCCCGAGATGAAGAACACAAACTGCTTAGGGTGAATTTTTAATTAACAAAAAAACTAAATGTAAATGATTTTTTTTTTTATTCAGCTTCATAATTTTTGTTTTTGTTCCTTTTTTTATTTGTGTCATGCTCATATGTACGTGGATAATGGATTTTTATTATACTTTTGTAGTCGACTTGCACACATGTAGTTGTGAATTATTGTTTATTATTTTTTGTTCACGTTTGTTATTTATGCAAATGAATTGAATCGGGCAATACTAGAAATTTTGTTGTTAGGTTAGGGAGGCAGTTCGCATTGTTTCATTGATTATTGTTCATATTTTGAGATGATGTTTTGGTCTTGTGATGCAGTTTTGAATATTTTTTTGCAAGATAATGTCACTTGATGTTTAGGATTTGTTCGGTTATAAGGGATACGTTTAGTTTTAAAATATACGTTTAGTTAAGGCTATGGAAAAGTTTAGATTTCTGACGTTTAAGTTCAGTTCTGAAGCATGAGTTTAGTTTCGAAAGGATTGATTCGGTTACAAAGGAATAAGTTCAGTTCTTAAGGATAAGTTCAACTGTATGATAAAAATAGTTTCGATAGCATAGGTTCAGTGACATAAGGATAATTTCAGTTTTTGAAATAAAAGTTCAGTTTCTAAAGAATAAATTATGTTTCAAAACGATAAGTTTAGTATAATAAAGATAAGTTTACTTTCACAAAGATAACTTCAGTTGGTGAAGGATAAGTTCATCTCCTAAAAAATATGTTTAGTTTCAAAAGCTTAGATTCAGTGTCAAAATGATACGTTTAGTTTCTGAAAGAAAAGGTTAAATTTAAAAAGGATAAGTTCAGTTTTAAAAGTTTAAGTTTTCTTTCAAAACATTTTGTTTGGTTTAAAAATGATAAGTTCAGTTTCTGGGAAAAAAGTTTAGTTGCTAAAGGATAAGCTCAGTTTCAGAAGGATAAGTTTAGTTCAAAATGGATAAGTTCAGTGTTCAAAAATTAAATTATTTATTTTATTAAAATTCACCCGAAAAATCTTCCATTTTCAAAAATTTTCCCTCAAAAAAGTCTAAATTTTCAGCCATTTCTAAAATAGCAAGCACATGAATCCTTTCGCATTTCAATCCCATCTCGAGTTTCATTGCGTAAAATAAATTTCACATCACCCTCATCTCATGACAACAACATTCTCTCTTCCTACACATTCACCATCCACATACATTACACCCAATAATTGCGATAAGAACTCGCATAAATTCATCGCAACCCTTTCTTTTGTGTCTTGAAGCACCGCCAACCCCTCGCTGAATGTCTTGCCTTTATCTTTCAAGAAAAAGGATATAAAAAAATTACAATTGTTACGCACTCTCAGCACATAATAATACAACATACGTGCTTCAAAGACATTTTTTTTTTTCGTGTAGCTATAGAAATGAATTCTAAGACACAAAAGGGTTGAGGATGTTTGGAATGGCAAATGAAGGGTTATTGAATTACGGTTTGCAGATCGTGAAGGAGTTTTTGAATTGGAAGGATTTTTTTTGTAGAGTTTTTTGGATGTTTAAAGGTGGCATGGCTTTAATATTAAGACAGAAAGTATTGGGAATTTTAGAACAGCATTTAAACCACAAGATAACTTCTTATTGTTCCTCATTTTCATGCAAAATTGCTCCTTTTATGGACCATAATCATGAAAAAATTCTCATCATCACCTTTATTGTTCTTCTTCTAAATCCAAGACATAAAAATAAAAATAAATGACTGAATAAAATGCTAAGCCTACTCAGTAGCTACTGAAGATGCAGAATGTCAAATTTACAGCTCGAGCGTAGCGGATTTTGTGATTCAAAATGAGAAACATAAAAAATGAAAATTATTCTCGAGTCGGCATCAAAAAGGGGTTCAGTTAGTGTCACAAATGAGAAGAGACTCACATGTGTGACTCACAAATGCAGTTGGATGTGCCACGCATGAATTTTTATTTATTGCGAGGGTTGACTTTGTAGAGGTTTTGGAAATTATTTTGTAAAATGAAGAATTTAAAATGTTATGTAATTTTTGAATATTTTACCGGTTTTTTTTAAAAGGATTTAAATATTAAATAAAAGTGATTAAATATTGGAATTTAGTTTGAGGACTTTTATTCATGACTTTGACAAATCTATTAACCTCAAAATAAAAAAATAGGTCAAATTTCAAAATCGTGTAAATTATTTCAGTATAAAATAAACAATTTTTAACTTCAAATTCACAGTTCATCTACATCCAGCTAGCTTAACAACCCACAAAAGATGTTTAAATTCACAATTATGATTGTCGTTAGCATGACTTGCCAAGCTATGGCTGGAAGTCCATCATTTTCAACAACCACAGGCCAACCAACATCAACACCAGTTCCAAAATGTATTTCTTGTGTGGAAGTCTTCAAAAATGGCAATGCCTTATCGCCAACAAATTGTGATCCAGGAACAAGCCCAAAAGTAATTGTGACAATAACTTATATAGGAGGTAATGATCCACCAGTAACTGGTGCTTGTACTGGTCCACATGCAGGTGTGATAACCACAGATAGACATGATACAATTGGCGATGTAAACATTGATGACGGAAGCTTGTCATTCCCTTAATGAGCTATAAAAAATTTGAATTAAGTTCAATAAATTTTTTTAAAAAATATTTTCATTTTCTTTTATTTTTAATGTTTTTTGAAGTAAAATTGCCAAATCTAAAGTAGGATTCAGTTGCTAAGGTAGCGCCACCTAAGCTTTTTCATATTCTTGGAATGTCATATCAAATCCGTTAATGCTAAGTCCTAATCCTGGTGAAGCAACGAATTTACGTAACATTGGACCCAACTCATCAAATGTAAGTCCAGTATTTGGATAAGAACATGCACCAGATGCAGGAGATCTACCAGAATCTGCTGTATAAGTTATCGTTAATGACACTTTTGAAGTCGATCCTGGATTACAGTTGTCTGGAGATGGAGGGACATCATATTTGAGAACATCAGCACAGAGGACACAAGGTGGAATGTCTGTGGTTGTTGGTGGACCTGCTGTGGTCTGTGGACCTGTTGTTGTTAGAGGACCTTCTATTGTTGGGATAAAACTTGGACCTCCAGCTTGAACTTGGTAAATCAAGCAAGTGACGACTGTCAACAATTTTAATAACTTCATTTCTAAGCAGCTTTTAAGAGGTGAATTTAAATACTCAAATGTAAGGAACTTGAAGTTATCCTGGTTTTATATGCAAATATGTTTTATGGCTGACTGCTTTCGTGACTTTCTATAACAATTAAAAAATAAAACATGCATTTTTGAGTAAGTTTAAGCTGCTAGGCTGTTAAGTGACCAAATAGTTGGAAGACCTTTGTGTAAATTTCTAGATTTGCAATACTCATGACTCACGACTTACATATGACCCAGATGCACTTTTCACAGCTTAAAAAGGAGAATAAAAAATTTAACGAAAACTATTAAAACTTTGTATTTTGTCAACTAAGCCACAAAATAAAATGAATCGCTTAAAAGTTGTGATTATCTGCTGCATATTCTACCAAATCATGGCTCAAGAGCCATCAGACTCACCATCAAGTTGTGATTTAATTTCATGTGAGAATGTCCTGACCAATTTCGCCGTTCCACCTTCAACAAGTTGTCCAGGCTCCACTGGACTTGAATTTATTTTTTTTGGAGTTCTGGATTGTCAGTTGCCCAAGTGTTTTGATCGAAATTTGTTAATTATGCATCTTAATTATGCTGTTGATGGGCTACATGCAGTATAAAGCTGCAAAATTCAGGACTATAATTAAACTTGAACCGTAAATTTTGAGCAAAAAAAAAAACACAAATTTTATGTCAGTGGAACCACAAAATATCAGCCACAATAAACTTTATTCCTTCAAAAAATTTAAGCACCAAACGGCATTAAGCTTAAACTGAATACGATGATGTTGTAAAAATCGCTCCATTGGACTCAATTTCCAGTCCTGGATTGGCACTGAATGATTTAATTGTTGGATGTATTGGCTTAATAACTCCAGTAAATGCATTAACTGAACAAGCTCCACTCTTAACAGTTCCATCCTTTAAAGTCACAGTAATCATGACTTTTGTGTACAATGGAATGCAGTCTGGATCTGATGGTGCTTCAGGTTTTGTTAAAACGTCAAAGCAGAAGGCACAGAAGAAGCTAGAAAGTTCAGATGGAATTAAAATTGATCCTGATGAGTCCATTGTTGGAATTAATGATGGATGAATTGTTGGACCTCCGGCAAATGTTGTGTAGATTAAACTGGTGATGATTAAAAGTTGGAAGCTGTTCATCTTGTTTGGTTGGACTGTCTGAAATGTTACTGAGTTGAAATTTTAAATCTTTGCTGCTTTTATGGCTGAGATTTTTGGGTTTTTGAGGATTATGATGAAAGTTTCACAGCTGCAAGTAGTAAAATTTTTGAAAATTTTAAATCGTGAATTTTGTGATGAAATTTGGATTTTTTTTTGGATATAAAAAGCAGCTGCCAGGTCTGCAAAGTTGTTAGTATACAGTTTTAAACATTCCTCAATACAATGCAGTCATTCAAACTTTTAATATCGATTTTTCTAATTCATCAAACAGCAGCCGGAGGACCATCACACACACCATCACCAAGTGATATACTTCGTCATTGTGTAGCTTGTAAGGATGTCCTAGAGAATGCTGTTCCACCATCTGAGCCACCATGTATTGTTGGAGTCACAGAAACTCGAGTTCACATCACAATAAAGTTCAAACAGGCAGGAAAGGAACAACAAAGTGGCGACTGTTATTTGCCATTCTTTACGCCAACAATTGGACCACCGCATCCAACAATTGAGTCTTATAATTCGGATGTACCTTTGACTATTCTTGTCAATGGAGCTACTTTTGTTTACAACAGCTATGATTTCTCAAATATGGCTTAAGAAAATAATTTAAAATTTTTCATATTTTAAGCTACATGCGAGTAGCTCAAGTCCATAACATTCAATTTAGTTCTGTATGAATGTGACGAAGAAATAAAAGAAAAACTTTATAATAATAATTATTCATTTATGCCATGGAAATATTTTGATGATTTTAATATAAATCGTGACCACAAAATGAATAATCATCACATACACGAGTCATACAATCATGTGCGATATACATAAAAGAATAAAAATATTGTAATCATCATTCGAGTGAATTTTTCTTTCCTTTACTTATGCTTTGAAGAAAGAATTTTAAGCATTGTTGATGATTGTGACGGAGTGCGGAGTTTTTAAACCCGTAAATAAATAAATTTAAATGAAACGAAGTGAGTTCTATTAATCTATAACTTCAATCTTTATTTCCTGCTCTATTTAAATTTATTTGTGGATTTTAAATAAATTGTCCTTTCCTCCACGTCTCAAAAATGTTGTGTCAACTGATCAAATCAAATTGAGAGGGGTTTGCTACTGGGACAGAAATATTTAAATCTCAAAATTCCGTTATTAATTCAAATAATTTATTTAACGACTTTCCGTTAAATAAATATGTAACAGCAATTTGTTACATAGTCGGGGAGGGAAAGAAGAAAACTTTGTAATTTCCTTCAAATTCACATCGTTGAATCTCGTGCGACTCATTGATGACATAAATAATTTCGGTGATTTCCTTCGGGAGTCGTTCCTTAGCCTTGACTTTCTCGATGATTTTGATTCCTTTACTTTCTGCGTATTTTATTGAAATTTGATTATCCTTATTAAATTTCTCCATTAATTGCTTGAACTTAGCTGCTTTTTTGACTTCTTTGAATTCAATAAATGCTGTAGCAGACTCGTCACGATCCATATAAACGATGTTCGAAAAATCCGTTATGAACTTCATCACTCGCGAGTGAAATACTGTGAACGGGTAGCTACCTTTCATACGCATTTTTATGAAGCGTGAAACAGCTATTGGAATTGTCTTTGGCGCTATTGCCTTCACTGTTACTTGTTCCTGTAATGAATCATTGAAAGAGGCGCTATTGCCTGGCAATTGATTGTCTAAATGCATACGAGTTGACTTGTCAGTCATCATCGAGTGACTTTGTTTGACTTGATCGACTTCCATGTCTGAAAATTCATGTAATTCAGCGTTAAGGATGACTGTATCATTGCGAGTTTCCATAACAGGTGCTGACTGTGTATGATTGATCATCTGGTCGACTGTAATGGATGCTTGTGCTGAATCTTCATTGGCAATAGTAATTTGAAGACATCGCAACTCATCTCGGTAATTTTCGTCCTTAAATACAACTTCTGTATGCAGCCAGTTTGCTCTAGCAAGGCTTTGAGTCAAAATTGCTTTTCCGACCGAATTAAGCAGCTCGCGTTGAGTGGAATTAATAAGGACAGTGGTGCTATTACACACGTCCAAGCGAATTGAGTCTAATCCCACACTTAACCGCTGTCCAGCAAGTCTTAAAACAGAAGCTCTATCGCTTATCGTTGCGAAGCCGAAGTTTCGAGTCACGTTACCCTTGTTGCCAAGGTTCCACTTGAATCCAGTTACGACTGCATGATCTTCAATACTTTCGACGACTTTAATGAGATATTCTGATGTACTGTGCTTGAATTTGGGAAGATCGTAGACATAAATTGGTTTCGGGTAGTTTTTTATCCGTTCTTCTTCAATGGTTCGGAAGTTAACTGGAAAATATGCGATTCCTGACACCAAATCCGGAAAACATATTTTAAAGTCATTATTGGCGTTCATCTCATGTCTAGCAGACACGGCGGCTTTATATTCCAGCTCATCCAGAAGAGACAAAATTATATTTTCAGAACTTAACCTCTTATTGTAATCAAAGATTCGGAAAATTGATACTATACTAGTGAGTTCGGAAGCTAGTTCCCTAATCACGTTCGACAGTTTCATTGATGAGTCGATTCCTTCGATTAAGACAAATCTTTCCTGTCTTTTATCAGCCATTATAGATAACTTGTTTTCACTTTTATCTTTTATCGCCTTGTAATTAATCGCTCTGGTTTGCTTTGACGCGTCGGTTTCGCTGTCATCAAATTCAAATATACTGCTGACAGTTGCACTTGTAGAAGCTTCCTTATCTTTTGTGCTTGTTGTTTCGCTCAATTCAGTGCTTAAATTGAGTTTTGCCAAGTTTCTTACAGCTCGATTCTTTTTAATCCTACCGTCAAACATTCGAACATCAGCAACGCGCGCTATTCCGTCTCTGCCTAGTCGAATTTTAATAATTCTTGCGCGATCCCATTGCTTTCTTGTCTTGTTTGGTTCTATCACCAAAACAAGATCTCCAACTTTCGCTGGTGTCTCATTCTTATGCCATTTGGAACGTTTTGTGAGTATCGGTAAGTAATAAGCTGTAAACTTTCTCATTATCTCATCTGCTAGCATTCGTCCTCGACGATAAATTAATTTCTCAGGCGCAACGGAATAAGTATTCTTATGGATACCTGGTAAAATCGGCCAACCACTCCTGTTCTTTGCTAAATGATGTGGCGTTAAGACTTCTCCGTCTTCAGCGTCCAATGAATTATCCGTTAATGGTCTGCAATTAATACGATGAGCAGCTTCATGAACAGCTATGTTCAGTTCCATTCTATTTATCTTCCTTCTGTCCAAAGTTCCAGCAAGTGATCTCTTGACTTCTTTTATCAATCGTTCGTACATACCACCAAACCAAGGAGCATGTACAGCAATGAACTGCCATTCAATTCTATACAATTCTGCAAGTTTTGTTCCTAATTCCGGTTGGTGTCTCGCAAAGAACTTAGCTCGTTCCTCATCCTCATGAATTGTTTTTGCTGATCTCTTAAAATTGGAACCGTTGTCGCTTATAAATTTACGAACTGGACCGTAAGCTGTCCAAAACATAACAATAGCTTCCATTACTCGAAGCGATTCAAGAGAATCCAATAAATGAAGGTGAATATATCTTGTGAGTGTACATACGAAGATCAGTATGTAAATTTTCTTGATGTTTCCATTTACTGTTGGTCTCAATGGTCCCAAAATATCCACACCCGTAATTTCAAATGGTTTAAGTTGTGGATTGATTCTTTCAATCGGTAAAGGTGACATCTTTGGCCTATATGGAAACGCTTTCTTGATTTTGCACCAATTACAGTGCTTCTTGATTGAAATCATCTCTGTTTTTAATTGCGATATCCACACTTGCGAACGAATCTCAGCTATTTGAGCTTCCGTTGCAATGTGATTAAATTTGTAGTGATGATATGCTAATAAAACCGTAACGTACGGGTTTTTCCTAGGGAGGAGAGGAGCGAATTGTTGCGAAAAACTCTGTCTGTTCAAATTCGCACGACTATTAATTCTTATTATTCCTTCTGGATCCATAAATACATTCAAAGCAATCATATCTTCATTCTTGATTTGCTTTCCTGCTTCTAAAGCTTTATATTCTTCAGTGAATTCATCCCGTTGTATTTTTCTGAAGATAAAGTGCTCAGCTCGTTCCAAATCGACAGCTGAAAGGTAGTTTAAATTACCTCCCATATTTCGCAGCTGTTTCCATTTGTTAATTTTGGAAAATTGAAGCGTCTGCACTAGTGGAATAAATGCATCCATATGCAGCTTTAATGCTCGCGCTATTGCTCTTCTTAACTTCGTCCATTTACATCTTATTGAAATGCTAAGACGATCTATTGCCTCATCACCAGCTATAGGGCAATCAACTGGTGGCAATTTATGTGTTGAGTACATTAGCTCTTGTTCGTAGATATTATTGATCATTAAGTAATCCTCGGAAGATCTCTCAGGAGCTCTTGGCCAATATATTTCACTCATTCTAATAAACGCTGGACCATGCATCCACATATCTATGTCTAATGAAAAATCTATCTTTCTCATTTTTGTACATAGGTCAGCGACATTAAGGTTTGTTGGCACATATTTCCATTCACATCTATCTGTGACTTCAAGAATATCTACTACTGGACCAATAGCATATTTGAGCAATTTCTGATTTGGGTTTGTAATCCAGCGGAGAACAACTTCTGAATCGCACCAGAAGTGTCTAGTTAATGTTATATCAGGCATTAAACTGACTATGGTATTACATAATTTCGCAGCAAGCACTGCAGCTAACAGTTCCAATCGAGGCATTTCTGTTATTTTCATTCCTGTCTTCAAGCGTAATGGGGTGACTTTAGCTCTAGCCATTACGAGATTTGATTCAATCCTCTCATTATACTTCACCACTAAGTAGGCAGCAGTTCCGAACGCTTCAGTTCCTGCATCGCAGAATATGTGCAGTTGTACCTCGTCAGCATTCTTCAGCGCATCTATCTGCGCGAATCTTCTCGCGAATTTTAATTTTGCTATTTCATTCAACTGAAGAAGCCAATTCTTCCAATCTTTAGCCGTTTTATTATCCACAGGTTGATCCCAATTAAGTTTACTTTCCCAACTGCGTTGCCATAGAATTTTACCTCTAACAGTAAAAAACGATATCAAGCCTAGAACATCATAAATTCTTGCCAAAGTGCTTGATTGGTCACGCTTTGTCGGTTTTATGTTGAAATCCCTAACCATCTTTACAAACAAGTTAGTTTCCAACTTGAATTCGAAGCAATCGTCTCTAGTATTCCAGAAACAGCCTAAAACTTTCGTCACAGGATCATCTGATTTACTTCCTGGAAGAGGGATAGCATCCTTTTTTACTGCATTCGGTGGAAGTGACTTAAGCAATTCTACACTATTACTTTGGAATGAAACTAAATCCCAATTAATTGATTTGCATATCTCAATACATTGCATTGCTACTTCAAGAGCCTTTTCAACGGTCGATTCTGAAGTTAATACATCATCCATGTATGTTTGTTTTATTAACGTTTGAGCTGCTTCGGGATATCTATCTATCCACAATTCAGCTGTTGTGTTCTTCACATATTGTGATGTGAATGGACTACTTGTC